ATTAGTGTTTGTGTATTTAATGTGTGGCCCAGAGATGCCAAAAGGCCAGACACCCTGTGTGTACACCTGAAACGTATACAGCATCCTATATCGATTCTATCTCAGGAAAACTGGGAAAGAATAGGCAGTCGAGTCACCCAAATCTTTTCTTTAATTCGCCCCATTTTGAAGTGCTTTTTAACTAAGTTCACAGAAAGCTATAGTTTACTTTTTTAAAATATATTTTATTGATTGATTATGCTATTACAGTTGTCCCATTTCTCCCCCTTTATTCCCCTCCACCCTGCATACCCCTCCCACCCGCATTCCCCCCCTTTAGTTCATGTCCATGGGTCATACATGTAAGTTCTTTGGCTTCTCCATTTTCTATAATATTCTCAACCTCCCCATCTATTTTGTACCTACCATTTATGCTACTTATTCCCTGTACCTTTTCCCCTCTCTCCGCCCACCTCCTCTCCACTGATAACCCTCCACGTGATCTCCATTTCTGTGATTCTGTTTCTGTTCTAGTTGTTTGCTTTGTTTTTGTTTTTGCTTTAGGTGTGGTTGTTAATAACTGTTTGTTGTCATTTTACTGTTCATATTTTTTTATCTTCTTTTCCTTAGATAGGTCCCTTTAACATTTCATATAATAAGGGCTTGGTGATGATGAACTCCTTTCATTTGACCTTATCTAGGAAGCACTTTATCTGCCCTTCCATCGTAAATGATAGCTTTGCTGGATAGAGTCATCTTGGATGGAGGTCCTTGCCTTTCATGACTTCGAACACTTCTTTATAACCCCTATCGCCTGCAAGGTTTCTTTTGAGAAATCAGCTGAGTCTTACAGGAACTCCTTTGTAGGTAATTGTCTCTTCTCTTGCTGCTTTTAAGATTCTCTCCTCATCTTTAATCTTGCCTAATGTAATTACGATGTGTCTTGGTGTGTGCTTCCTTGGGTCCAACTTCTTTGGGACTCTCTGAGCTTCCTGAACTTCTAGGAAGTCTATTTCCTTTGCCAGATTGGGGAAGTTCTCCTTCATTATTTGTTGAAATAAGTTTTCAATTTCTTGCTCTTCCTCTTCTCCTTCTGGTACCCCTATGATTCAGATCTTGGAACATTTAAAGATGTCCTGGAGGTTCCTAAGCCTCTCCTCATTTTTTTGAATTCTTGTTTTTTCATTCTGTTCTGGTTGAATGTTTCTTTCTTCTTTCTGGTCCACACTGGTGATTTGAGTCCCAGTTTCCTTCCCATCACTGTTGGGTTCCCTGTACATTTTCCTTTATTTCACTTAGCATAGCCTTCATTTTTTCCTCTATTTTGTGACCATATTCAACCATTTCTGTGAGTATCCTGATTACCAGTGTTTTGAACTGTGCATCTGATAGGTTAGCTCTCTCTTCATCGCTTAGTTGTATTTCTTCTGGAGCTTTGATCTGTTCTTTCATTTGGGCCATTTTTTTTTGTCTTGGCGCACCTGTTATATATAAGGGGCGGAGCCATAGGTGTTCATCAGGACGGGGCAATCTCGTGGCTGTGTTGTGACCCAGTATGTGGGGGAGGGTCCCAGAGGGAACAGTGCCTCTTGCTCCGCTCTCCTCGGACTTTCAGTCACTTCACCCACTTCCCACAATTAAACCGGGCCTTTCTGGTGCTGATTCCTGGACGGTGGGCTTGTGTACGTTCTAGGACCCTGCGGGTATCTCCAACGAACTCTCCTGTGAGGCTGGGAGTTTCTCCGACCGCCGCAACCCCCCACAGGTGTTTTCTGTCAGAGGTTTGAGGCTTTATTTCCCCCCTGGAACCCTGGCTTGTGGGTCTGTCTCGCTCCCTGGTTGTTCCTCCTGGTTCATCTGCACATGAATGTGGGACCACCTGGTCCTCCAGCCACAGCCTCACCACGCATCTCTCCACCTGGCTGCCCATCTCCGCCCCTCCTGCTGGTCTGGGTTCTTCTTCTTTAATTCCTTGGTTGTCAGATTTCCATACGGCTCGAATTCTCGTTGTTTTTTTGTTTTTACATTTGTTGTCATCCTTCTTTTGGTTGTGTGAGGAGGCACAGTGTGTCTACCTACGCCTCCACCTTGGCTGGAAGTCCGGCTTGCTTTCTCTAATTTAAAATTTTTAAGGATAAATCTAAATAGAAAAACTCAACCAGAGAGTCCTTTCGGTTCTAACGATGCACCTACACCGCAAACGTCATGGTGCCCTCGTGTGCCTCTACCTGGCCTGCTGCCTTCAGGCAGACGACCTGTGCTGTGCAAATAAAAAACCGCAGCACCCAAAACTGGCACCTGCACGGCTTCTCCCGCTTCATCCTCACAGGGAAAGCATTCGGGATCTCAGCCCTAACATATCCTCCAGTCCCCAGTTCCAGGGCGAAACCTCCACCCTCCATGTTCCCGTCGCATTTACCTCCTCGCTCTAATCAAGCACCATGATCACTCACCAACCTACACACTTACAAACCATGCACTGAGCTCCCTGGGGCGGCCACCTCGTCATCCTACTCATCTCGGGACCCAGGAGACTGTCACAGTGACTGGCGCAGAGGAAGCAATAAATAAATGAACACACACACTATTCTCTGGCACACGATGAGAAGAGCCCGATGCGGCCCTCAAGAGAAGAGTTAGCCATGCGTGGTGGAGAGTCAGCCACTCCAACGAGTCATCGCAACACAGACATTTGCTTCGGTGGCAGAAGGAGCACATGTGACAGGTGTCATCTCTCCTTTTCCCTCCCCTACCCCCCCAGCCCCTCTCCCTCTGGTCGTCACCACACTGTTGTCTGTGTCTATGAGGTTGTTGTGTCTTCGTTTTTGCTCAAGTCCCTCACCTTTTTCTGAAGATGATTCCTGAGGCCACTGCCCTGGCCTGAGCCACAGACTAACTAACACCAACTCACATCTTAATACTAGAGAAACTTAAGTTTCTTTCATCAAATCCCGGCAAACTCGCAGTATTATCTTTCCCACTAAATCATAAACACATTGCCGTATATTCTGCCTCCCACGTGTGGCTTGTGAAGAGTCTAGATGTAGAAATGCAGCTAAATATAGACACAACTCCTGGGGTCTTGAAAGACACAGAGCTATGTTCAAGGTCAACCTATCAACAGGAAATAGGTGCATACGCCAAGCACAAACGCCTCATATTTACATTGGACATGCTTTTTTCATATGAGTAGCTTTACCAAACAGATTACAAAACTCTCCTTATGTCTAACAACAATCCTGTCATTTTCTTTATAATACTGTCTGAGTGTCTTTCTTCTAAAATACACCTGAGACCATGGGAATTAAACAACGACAATTAAAACGATAGCAAACTACCTGAAGCTCTACCTGTCAGAGACGGGTTACATGTATTCCTGAACACGGTACAGAAATAAGACGGAATGAGGAAGGAAGCTGTCTATTCACGAATACAAAAAGACAGCCAAGAGGAGTTATGTGAGAAAAATCAGGGTGCAGAACAGTATACGCGGTGTGCTGCATTCTGTGGTACAAATGGGGAGACTAAGAATGCATGGCTTTATTTGCTTATATGCACATACAGAAACTCCAGAGACCAGAGAGGAAATAAACCAACGCAGAAGTTCAAGGAAGGACTGGACAGGCGAGAATCAAGGGTGAGAGGAAGCATGTTCACTGCAAACCTTCTTATACTTCTTGAAATTTTTAAACTTTGTTAATGCGTTTACACTTTCAAACATCTACATAAAAACAATTTGGAAACACAGACTACACCTGTAATAATTATGATTTAATTCTATATTAAGTAGTAATAACTTTTGTACTATCTTCTTTTCATTCTGATTTTCTTAATTATCCAGAAACTCAGGAAACAAATTACTTAGCATAGATAAGCTAAAAATATAATCTTGCTTAATAACCTGTCATTTTTTTTTGCCTGCCCTTCAATAGCTAATTAGCTCATACTCCAGATTTTGGGGGGATACTTCCTCTCATTGCTTTACCCCCTGATTTTGCAGAGATCAAGTAAAGGGGGTGCAGTCACATCCATCCCCCCTCCCCACCCTGGTACCATCCCCCACCCCATGCCTAATAATACCCCCTCCTGTGGTCTGAGAAACAGAGGTAAGAATCCCTGGAACCCTGAGGGGTTCCATCTTAATTCATTCATTGAAATATTTACTAAAAACACTTTTAAGTGGCAGGCACTGAGGTGCACGCTCTGAGCTGGCAGGACAGTAAGGGGGACGGACCAGCAAAGGGGCCCCTGGATCCCTCTGCTCCCTCCTTCCACTGTTGCTGGGAACTATGACCATCGGAAACAATTAGCAGTCCATGTGCGTGTCCGTCTGGACGCACAAATAAGCCAAAAAGGCAAAAACACTGTGATCCTTCACAGCTCTATCAGAGATGACTATCATGCAGGCTTCAATGTATTATGTTCCCTTCTACTTTTTAAACAGCCTCAAATTTACCCAAAGTTTTAAAAGATCTTCAGGTGACATTTACAACACCTTCTTTCCCAAGAGAGGAATGAAAAGACAGCCTTCCTCCCTCAAGACGAAAGCTAGATGTGTGGGCCAAACAGGGGACTCGGGGCTCCCACCCAGTGTCTGCTTCTGGGAAGACACTCAGAGGGTCTTGTTCTACATCCCCAGCCCCTGACATTCGGTCAGAGCCCACCCACAGCTCCGGAGAGGAGGGAATGAATGGACAAATCAGCGATGTAGATTACAAAAAGCTAACAAATCCGGACATGGTTATTAGCTCCTACTTCAGGCACCCTTTGTGCTTCAGCTGTCAAGATATAGAGAGGACTCAAGGGAGAAATTAATTCCTAAAAAGAGAAAAGTTGTTTTACTCTTACTGGATAGGGAGAGGAAAAAAACTCTGCAAAAAAAAAAAAGGAAATAATAAAAACTTCCACCTCATTTCACGCCATAGAACATAAAACAATGAAAAAACACAATGGCCCCACTGTAAAGCAGCCCGCCATCTGGCCAGGAGCTGCAGCCCCGGCTCGAGAGCAGCCAGCTGTACCTGAATGGAAGGTAGGGGGGGTTGGAGCCAGACAGCAGAGCTCGGTAGGCTTCTTCTGGCGTCTTCTTCAAATAGATGACCTGCGACAGATAAACAGCAACACTTAGAACACCACCAGTGAAAGACAGGAGGCTGTACGACTCACCAAATTTGCATGTCACCCCTTCCTCTCTGAGGGGCAACTGTCACCGGCGATAAATGTGAATCTTTAAGACGGCGACCACGCTGCCCAAGCTTCCCTCTTGGCCTTTGGACAGGTGAGAGCTCTGAGACCGAAGGCAGGCACACAGAGGCCGCCCAGGGCTGTGTTCCAGGCGCAGGCGCAGGCGCCCCTGCAGGGCCTTCCCATCTGGGGACTGCACGGCTGCACCCCCACGGTGGCCCTGTGTGCTCGCTGAAGACCAACGTGGTCCCGCCACCCTGTCCTTCACAGGCAGCCCACCGTGAGGCAAGGCAGGGCTCGGTGAGCACTGGAAGACGTCTGTCTGGGGGTGGGCACAGCCGCCACGGGAGGCCTCCTGAGTTCTCCACCTGCGCTGAGGACTGCCCGGCTGCTCTCTGAACGCTCAATAAAATCACAATGAAACGGTGCAAAGGCACACAGCGGAGGGCACCGCCGGACAGATTCCCTCAGCTCTTGACAGCAAGGAGACTCGAATCCCCAGGGTCCAGCGGGACACGCCAATCCTGGAGTCAACAGAAGGGGCCCGCCCCACCGGCCTGTGGCTTCCATGGGATCAGCACGCTGGCTCTCGGGCTGTCTCGGGGCCTGGCACCCCTCAACGGAATTTACGTTCTTGCGGGGCAAAAACAGCGATTCACAAAGATCAACAGTCTGCGTTAAGTGCTGAGAAGGAAGCAAACAGCGTCCTGAAATGAGAGTCGGAAGGAGCTGCTTGAGGTTGGGAGTTGGGAGGGTCTCTTTGAGACACGGGGGTAAAATGCGCAGGGCGGGGGGAGACGGTTGGCTGCCCACGGTGACGAGCAACAGCAATGGTGGGAGACCCTGCTGTCATCGCCAGTGCCATTTCCTGCTTAATTCTGGCCCCGGCCATCAGTCCTTCTCCTCTCCAGTCTGAATCAAACATGACTCCCAGAACCGCCTGCCCCGAGACTTCTCAGCATTCCTTCCCTCTCAGGCCCGACCACAGAGCCACGCGAGTTTCCACGGCGAGAATGGCAGAGACCAGTCCTTACGAGGCAGGGCTTCCCTGCATCCAGTTCCTCTGAGCTTCAAGCTACTCCACTAGCAACGTGTTACACGTATTTAATGATTAGTAACGTCGGGACTAGCAAACACCTCAATTTTGAATTCTCTAAAGAGAGAAAACTAAATGGAACATGTGAAAAATGCATCTGCCTTGCCCGCGACTGCTCCACCTCTGTCTGACACATAACCATGAAGGTCTGATCAAGGAAACGCCACCCAGGCGACTGTCACAGGAAGCAGAGACAGCACAGAAGAGGCCCAGACTCAGCAGAGGCAACCTCCTAGCTGGAGCTGCAGCTCAGATAATTCCCCAAGATCCGTTACACCAACCCTAGCTGCGAACATCATTTTCAGGGCCCAACATTGAAAGAGGGTTTCGTTGGGCCCCAATGGGCAGGTTACATAACGTAAGTGCAGCTGGTTGTCACGCAGTCGTATTTCCAGGCTACAGATGTGCAGTGTCGGGAAGCTGGCGGCGCCTGCTACAGGGACAGCGGCATGGAGAAAGCTTCTGTGCTTGGTTTGCATCATTAAAGCTTACACCCCAAAGTCTGCGAAGCGGAAGGTCACTTCCCACCTCGGGAGCAACGGCACGGACACCCGTGTGTCAGGAGGAAGCCCTCCTGCAGGGAGGCGGGCGGCCGCCCAGGTGAAATGCTGCTTCCCAGGGGCTCCCCACGGGGCTCCGCTCCTGTGCTTACCTGCATGACTGAGCACGCATGACCCGTGTTCTCACACTGTAAGAGGAGAGCCTTTGTTTTTATTTTTATCCCGGTGCTAAATGATTCATAGGTGCAAAGTGAAACCCCACAGAGGCCATGCAGATTCCAGGAGGACTCCAGGGGGCAGGTGAGTGCAACGACCTTTCACAACCTGAGGACGGGCGCGTGGGCGAAGGCTGGGGATGTGCCCCCGTAAATGAGGACACGGCTGAGGGCATGCACACCGGGGTCTTCGAAGCACCAGACCCCACGCGTCCAGGAGAAATGCCTCGTGGAGGCTTGGGCCAGACCTTCTTAGATCTGTCTGCTATTGAAAAGAGGAAGGGACGAGGCCGATGAGGCCAGGTGAGCGCTCAGAAGGAAGGCCACCCTGAAGCCTCGCTGCAGCAGAATCTGCAGCTCAGGAAGGTAAGGGACCTTCCAGGCCGCCCTGCTGCACTAGGAGGGCATCAGAACCCCAACACACATGTGACTCCGAAGCCACGGAAATCCCCCGCGTCACGTCGGCTTGAAGATTCAGAGACATTAGAAGCACCAAACCTGGAAATAAAGAACCCCACTCTTCCAAACCCCTATGTGCCACCTGACTTTGAAAATTAGGTGACTTCCAACTGTCGACAGCAGCCATGTCTGAGCAACAGGGGCTGGTGGGGAGGAGGGGCCGGAGGGGGAGGAAGAGTCTCTTCTTCCCATTTCCATCATCCCCACATTCCTTGGATTCTGTACAGATGCAGAGTAATTTGTTTTTTACATGTGGAGGAACTGAATCTGTTATGAAATGTTAATGTATACTCTTTCTAAACATAAAATCTATATTTACTTAACACTCAAAAATGTATTACCAGAGCCCTGGCTGCTGTAGCTCAGGGGATTGAGTGCGGGCCTGCAAACCAAAGGATTGAGGTTCAATTCCCAGTCAGGACACATGTCTGAGTTGCAGGCCAATTCCCAGCAGGGGACGCATGAGAGGCAACTACACATTGATGTTTCTCTCCCTCTCTCCTTCCTTTCCTCTCTAAAGATAAATAAATAAAATCTTTAGAAAGAACTACTCTTTTAAAAAATTGTTACCAGTCTAATATTTCAAAGAATATTTTCTCAAGAACATTGATTTCAAAGCATCTTTTAAATATCCCAATTTTCCTTCTCTGCTTCTCAGAAGGAAAAAAAGGAGTGATGTGCCGTCTTCCCTGGTCCCGAGATTAGCATCAACAAACCCAAACGGGTAGAATCTTCCCGGACTCATAACTAATGGACATAACCATGGCCCTTTGCACAGGGCTGGGTGGTGCCAGGCCAACTGGTCCCCGAGACAGTGAGCATAGGCACCCCTTTAACTTCTCGCCCACAGGGAGTCCTAGATACTCTCCCCAGAGAACAGCACTTGGCATACACTGTCATATGTTTAACCGACTGGGAGTCAACCAATCAAAGTGAGTCCTTTTTGCTCAACTTTGATGCCAGCTACCAAGGACCCAAATAACTCTTAAAGGGCCAGCATCCTCATACACACATATGGCAATTACGAATGTTTTCTTTGATAGCATAATAAAATTACAGTACTACAAGCTAACCAGCCAGCAGAATGTATGTTCCCTTCACTGAATTCACCATCTATCAGCTCCCACGTCAGCCCCATGGAGGACCGTCTGCTGACATTTCTCTTTAAATAGACAATCTCTCTTAATTTCGTGTATTCTGAAGTGTTTCATATCATTGCAATCACTGGGAAACCAGTATCACTTGCCAGTATCATAGTGTCCACACATAAGTGAGTGTTACAATTTTTAAGAGAACTACATAACTCTTCAAAATGCAAAAATGTTTGTGCTCACCACACACGGTGAAGCCATGTGACCAAGTGTGGACTGGTTTTCCAGACAGCAGATCGATCTGGTAAACTAAATGCCATCCTCTTAGAATTAATGGGCAAACTCTTTCCAATCAAATCCTCCCCAGAAAGCCCGGCCAGGGGGCCAACCCTTCACCAAGACAAGGCGCCAGCCTAATTTCCAGTGAGTTTGTCCTTGTGCCTTAAGTAAACCCCAGCCACTAGCCTGGACTCCTCACCATTCCCTGTAAGTGCTCAACGCCTTCTGGCATCTGAGGGCCCTTCTGGACCATTCTCCATACTGTTACCGCCACTGTGAAAATCCTTCCTACTTCATTTGCCCTAACCCAAGCATTGCCCCCATAATGCCTTTCTTCTCCAGCTCAGAAACCCCTCCCCTCACTCATTGACTTTAGGAGTGACCATGACCATGACAATGACAGTAAAAAAACAAAAAGGGACATAGCACACACCAGGTGCCAGGGACTATTCTAAGCACTTCACATAATCTGGCTCGGATGTCCTCAGGGCCACCCTGAGTTTCCATTATTCTCCCAGTTTCCGTCTGACACACCAAATGTTCAAATCAGTTGCTCAAGGTCACCCGGAGTCAGGCAGCCTGGCTCCCAGACACACCCCCAGCCACTTCCTGACCGGGCCACACAGCCCTCCTGGGATTATCTTCCTTCACCCTCAGGCAGAAAGCTCCTGGGAGGGCAGCGACCGAGACCTGCAAACCCTCATGCGTTTCCCAAGGCCTCCAGCCAGGGAGACGCTCGGGACACAGAGGCGTCACAAGTGACTGCGGACACTTGCAGGGGACCAAGTGTGCGTCCACCCTGGAGGGTGAATTCCGTTTCATTATTTTTAAATCCTGTCCCAGCCGTAGTGAAAATGCCCGGGGCAGCTAATGAAATCAACTTCCTGAGCCAGTGGTCTGAGCACATCACTGGGCGTAGTCGATTCTTCCATGATGTGCTGAAAGGCTGTAAGCAAGAGATCTGCATCCTCCGATAGCAAGGGTTCCCAGCGCAGGTGCGCGGCTGGCCCAGACTCTCACCCGCCCACCTCCCCAGGCCTGTCCTGCAGCTGCACTCGGCCACTCCCAGCCCCTGCTAAGAGGCAGGAAGCTGGAGGTGGAGCAAAAGTCCCTAAAGATCACCGGGCAAGTACTTAACGAGGGCAAAGTCTGCAGCCTCGACAGGAAGCTTACACTCAGTGCCAGCCAGGTCTCCTACGGGGGCTGGAGACTGGATGGGCCATGAAGGACCAGACGGGACCCGAGCCTTCCTGGAACCCTGGTAGCGTTAGAGGGCC